TCTTACTATCCAGTGTCAGAGTAATATGTTATTTTAACCTCCAATCACATTTTATAATGTCAAATATTTGAGAATAATTAGTACAAAAGACAAGTGAGAAGCTGAGTGATACCACTTTAGGTGTTAATGAGTTGTAATATGAGTAGAGGTATGCAGGCAAAGGTGTAGTTGGGTGTGGTTATGCCTGTAATCCCAGTGTTCTAGGAGGCTGAGGCAGGAGGATCATAAAATTTGAGCCTGACCTGGGCAATTTAATGACTTTGTGAAACAGGCCTTGTTTCAAAGTAAAAAATAAAGGCTTGGGATATAGCTCAGTGTGAGGGTCCTGGGTTGAGTTCCAGTACCTTACCCCATCCCTCCTACCCCAACCAGAAAGGCAAAAGGGTATTGATTTACATAGCAATACTTGGATACTATTTAGATGATTCCTCATGCTTTTATGTTAATTACATTATGATTAAAATGAAAAAGTTCAGCCTAGAGCCTCTCACAAATTTGAGTCTAATCTCAATAACAATTGTACTGAAATGCATTACAAAGAAATTAAGAATTTCACTCTTAGGTGTCAAAGAAAGTGGAGATGAAAGTTTTATTTTACATGTATTGGGTAGTTTGAGTTCACTTCAGTGTAACAAAAACTGCAGCTACACTGGCTGAACAAAATCAGTTTATCTTCCCCTTTTAATACCCAGGAGTCATATATGTGGGTCTATGATGTCATCAAGGACCCAGTACTTTGTGGCTGTTCTTAAGCATCATCTATAAATTCTTGTTTCATGCTCCCAAGAGGCCCTTGGGCCTCGAGCCGTCATGCTATTTAGGCAAAAAACAGACAAATCTGTATACCTTTTATTCCAACCTGAACACTTCTGTATAACACTGAATACTTGTGAACTGATTCTGTTAATTCTGAATTACTGTAAAATGTTCAAGACCTGTTAGTAATTCAAACTTAATCATCTCTGACACGCGGTAAACGTTATATAACGGGGCTGGGGATTTAGCTCAGCGGCATAAGCACCTGCCTTGCAAGCAGGAGGTCGTGAGTTCAACCCCCGGTACCAATAAAAATGAAAAAGACAAACAAACAAAAAAAAAACATTATATAACAAAAAACCTAAAAATTAATGGAATATTTTGAAGTGATCAAAATAAAATGGACTTTGTAAACAAGCTTGTAAGATGTATGTCACAAAGTACAGGTACCTTTTTAATGTGGTTCTAGCCATCTTTTCAGAAGGTGAAAGAATTAGCTGTTTTAGTAACTATACTACAATGCAGTAACCAATTTATAGTATAGCTGAAAGATCAAATTTAAAATAATTGAGTTTGAGCATACATAATGGTTAGTGCTCTGACTGTATTACATCCAAAAGGAACAAAATCCTCTTCCCTACTCCCCAAAACCTATGTAATGGCCAGCAGTGATGAAATAGAAACCTGGTTTACTTTACTCTTGTTGATGAGCTCACATGACGAAAATACTTTATTAAAACGCATTATTGGTTTCCATATTCCTAAACAAGGGGAGGGTTGCATTTGATTTTGTTGCTCTTTTGAAAAATAATAGGGTTTTGCTGTAGTTCATTTGTTTTATATATATAAATATATTTATTTTGAGACAGGGTCTCACTGTGCAATTCAAGCTGACCTTGAACTCACTGTGCAGCCCATGTTAGCCTCGAACTTGTACTGATCCTTCTGCCTCAGTCTCTCGAGTGCTGGGGTTACAGGTATGCATGAGCATGCCTGGCCACGATGGCTATAATTTGGATGCGACTATATTCTTTTTCTTCCTGGAGATGTGGGACTATTTTCTTGTGATTAACTTAGGCATTATAATTTAGAATGTAGATTTTAGATAACAGAAGAAATAGTTTGCCTGAATACTGTAGCTAAGTATAAATATCCTTATAGTCTCTTTTTAAAAATGTTTTTTAGAAAGCCCAAATTAATAATTTCGAATTTTTTCATGGGTGACTGTTGTCACAATTTGCAGAAACTGGATGGTTAACTGTGAGTCCAGAAAGTCTTCTTTCTCTTTAATGATGAGAAATGGTTCCCTAGAACTTTCTAGTGAAACAAGTACACACGTGGATCTCATTTTCTCTTCCTGTTGCTGAAACATTAGTCAGAGGGACGCCGACATGTTATTAAAACTTAAGTTCATAACACTTAAAATATTTTTTTCTTCTATATTAGAAATTTGACTGTCTCATAAGTCTCTTCATTTTGGGAGTCATACTGAGCTGATTAAATGTTCCAGTTTTACTGTTCCAGTTTTAGGAAGCAGGTAATCCAGCTAGTTCAAACTGGAGGTTTAGTTCCTACGACTCCTAGTTGGTTGTATGGGTTTGTACGGTCTACTCTTCTTCCTTTAGCCTGAATTATGTGGTTCATTCGTTGGCAGCTTTTTATTCATTTGAATTCATTGATATTTTAGGAGATGTCTCCATGAATAAATAAACTATTGTTATCTGCATATGATTGCGTTTCTGGGAAATCTATAGTTTTATTTGCTAAATCAGCTTTGTTTCCTGATAAATATATTACAATGTGAGGACTTGTTGCCTCTGAAGTTCTTAGCTCAGTTTTTGCTCTTGCAAGGACTCCTAATTTGTGATGTCATACGTGATTATGACTGCTTACACTCCTCTACGGTACATTGCTGCTAGACTGTGGTATTGTTCTTGACCAGCTGTATCCCAAACTTTACTGCTGTGTCATCAAGACACACACTTTGAGTTAAAAAAGCAGCCCCAGTGGTAGTGTCTTGAAATTCATGAAACCAGACTTTCAAAAGCACACAAACCAGCCTTTCTCTTTAATCTGTGTTTCTACTTTAATCAAAGAAGTACAAAATAGGTATAAATAAGTCCCTAAGTATAAAAGCAGGAAGGAAATGTAAGATTATGTGGTTTCATCATCTCGGGCTTAGAGATAATTAGTGACTTGTTTGAGGCCACCCAGTCAAGTTCCAGGCCTAGAATTTGAAGTGTTCTGATTCCTACACTAGTCACCATAGTTTTGATATATTGTGCTACTTCATGAACTGTGGTCACTCATGTATCACAAGTTGTGTATCCTTAAACCATAAACTCAAAATTCTCAATACTCCACAATCTGAAACTTTCGGATCCTGACATGACATTCAAAAAGTTTTTGGACTTTGGAACACTTTCAATTGCCAGTTTTTGAATTAGAGATGCTCATCCACTAGGATCTGTGCAGATATTCCAGAATTCAGCAGTCTCCAGAAATGCTTTTGGTTCCATGCATTTTGAATAATGAGTACTCAGTTTATGCTCTTGCTGTGTACACAAGACAGCCGCTTTTTTTTATTATGTTATCAGTAAAAATTCTTCTAATTGTGTGAATGATTACAGTAAAAGTAATTAGAGGTTTCATATTTCTTTTTTGAGACTCCCATGTTTGCATTTTATTGTTATAATGCTTGTGGTATTTATATATTTGTTCATTTGTTCTACTGTCTACATTCATTCTCTGTCTAGCTATATGCTAGACAGAGATTACAGTGTCTTAAGAGCAGGACCATGATTTACTCATTTTGTGTCCTCAAGTAGATCATCATTGATGAGTGATTAAATAGTCTTTGTCCTCATTCAAGTCTTGGAGACTGACAAAATTAATGATAATGGTACTGCTGAGGTAAATTCCTTTAGAGATGAAGGGGCCATAGGTGAAGAAAAGCTAAGTAAATCTTCGAGGCTGAAAGTGGACCTAGAAAGACTTCAGCAGGAACTAGTTGAGTCTGGAAGGTGATTTCCAGGTGACAAAAGAGAAGGGCTGCATATCAAGCCAAAAAGGAAGTGTTAGAGACCCAGTGGGATCTAAACAGCTGAGCAACTTGTTTAGAGACATGGGACCACAAGAACTATGGAAGGCTCTGGTACTAGGAAATGAGGCTTGAAGATGTAGCTGTGACCACATCTCAGAGACTTCAGTAACACGTTAAGAGAAGTTCAGTAACATGGAGAGCCATGGGGGAAAGCAGGAAACAGAGTCCCAGACAGGCATTTTGGCATAGCCACCTGGCATTGTGTTTACCTTGAATCCTTAATGCAGAGCCTGCCTCCAGAAGGACACTTCTTGACCCGTAGCTGCAGATGATCAAGGCAGACTAAGCCACACACAAAGATCCTGTTCCTTTCTGCCCAGTTCCTCAGTAGCTCCCTCTTAGCAGTCTTCCCGTTACCTAACGAGGACTCATAAGAAGTGGTCCTCTCTCCTGCCCAGTAAGGACTATTTTTTTTCCTGTTTGGTTTGTGGGACTCAGATGATGGAATACATTCCACACAACTTTTACTTCTAATTGTGGGATGAAAGACAATATTTCAAGAATTTCAGATAGCCAGGTGTGAGAAGCCTGCTCCTGGAAGAACCCTGACCCTGGTGTCTCTCCATCCTCCCTTTTGATCCAGTCTGTCTCCTCCAAGTTTGTTCTCCCTTCACTGAGAAAAGCTTCTTCCCCACTACCTAAGTTTAGTCTCTAATTCTCCTTGGACTCCCAGTTGTCTTGTTTTCTTGCCCAACTGAGGTTTGACTTCCTTCTCTGACATTCGTCCTAAAGTGGATCTAAACCTTTGTTGGCTCTGCATCTGGTAATGCAGTTTACCAGAGGGTGGCTTTGAAAGTGCATTTTCTTGGTTAATACAACACACATGTTATTATTGAAGGGCTCACCTTCATCTCACTGGTTTTGCTTGTCTTTTTCTTTTCCTGCTCAGGCATTTTTATTACACTACAAGAAATCAACAGAAATCTTCTCCAAACTCCATTAACTGTCTGTCATGAGTCACTTTAGTTTTTCCTGTATTTCCTTCTAGTCTCTGACCATATACTGTGATATTAACTAGGTTTAGTTTGAGGTGTTTTTTTCTTTTTTTTAATGCTGAATGGTCATAGTTGGAAGAAATTAAAGTAATTGAGGTATGAAAATATCTTTAGTGACAATGGCTTCTTATTTTATTTCTTTTTAGGAAAGACACTGCCGACCCTGTAACATGGAGGATTGTCTTCATACCTCATCTGAGAATCTGTCCAAATTGGTCAGCTGGGCCCACAGCCATGGGACCATTTGCAGCCTCATTCCAAACTTGAAACACTTGCTTTCTGAAGGTTCCCATGGGAACCTGACCGCAATGTGGGGCTGCAGTGCTGGCCATGCCTACCACTGGCCACTAACAGCTACCTGCAGAGCTGGATCACAAGAGAGAGTCTGTTTCCAAGACAACAGAAGTTTTAACTCTGATAGTCCCAGTATAATCGGGGTGCCTTCTGAGACACAGACGAGCCCTGTTGAAAGGTACCCTGGGAGAGCAGTGAAAGCAAAGCTCGACTGTAATCGGACCAGAGACTCTTGTGACTTCTCTTACTGCAGTGAGCCCTCTGAACTTGACGAAGCCGTGGAAGAGTATGAAGATGAAAACACCCTGTTTGACATGGTTTGTGAATCTTCTGTTACAGATGAGGATAGTGACTTTGAACCTCAAACCCAAAAGCCTCAAAGCATCACTCGCAAAAGGCCAGGAGTAGTCCCGTCTTCCCTCCATTCAGGCTCCCAAGTGCAGATGATTGACGAGTGCAGCAATGATGTCATCATCAAGAAAATCAAACAAGAGATTCCGGAAGATTATTACATTGTGGCAAATGCAGAGCTTACAGGAGGGATAGATGGCCCAGCCTTATCATTGACACAGATGGCAAAACCCAAGCCTCAGACTCATGCTGGTCCCTCCTGTATAGGATCTGCTAAGCTGATTCCCCATGTAACGTCTGCCATCAGCACAGAGCTAGACACACATGGTATGTCTGCATCCCCCTCTGTGATTTCCAGACCAATCATTCCAAAGACTGCTAGAGTATCTCTGGCTTCACCAAACAGAGGACTCCCTGGCGCCCATGGCACCAACCAGCAGGCAGCCTTGCAGATGCCTGTGAGTACATCTCATCCACACAAACAGATCAGTATTCCTTTGTCTGCCCTGCAGCTACCTGGACAGGATGAGCAAGTTGTTTCTGAAGAATTCTTACCCCATCTGCCTAGCCAGATCTCATCTTGTGAGGTGGCCCTTTCTCCCTCAGTGAACACAGAGCCAGAAGTGAGCTCCAGTCAACAGCAGCCTCCAGTCGCTCCGACCATAAAAACTGAAGCCACAGCACAGTGCATACCAGGTATGGCAACGTGAGGTGACTACCAGTCCCTCGTCCATGTGCATCTGAGAACCCTGCGCTGTCAGTGCTTCTAAAACCATTGGTTCAGTTTGCTAGGATTTCATCCCTTTTCATTCTCAGAAAGATAGAAATAATGAAATGTATTATATCACGGTGATAATCTGAAGGCAATTCATCTGAGTTAAGGCCATCCATTCAGTTGATGGATCTCAGGGCTGAGAAGAGGGCATAAGAGTGTGCTGTTGGTGCTGTATGACTAGGTTTAAGCTGACCTTAAGCTGAGTTTTTTGTAGTAAAGTTACTTTTGAAAGATTGATTTTTAAAATGCTTTCCCTTCAAAGCAAGTTATATTTAATTGCTCTTTGAAGACAAATAATGTTAGGTAAGACATGTCCTGACAATAGATCTAATTTTTTCCATATCTATATATCTGAACTATTTTCATGTTGCTATATTTTAGTAGGTATGTCAGTTCAAAACCCAGTTTTTTAAATAAAAGTAACAAGCATTTCTAAAAAAAAAATTTGGTCTTTTTTCCCAAAATTTAAAAGAATCTGGGCATGATGGGGCACATCTGTAATCCCAGCACTTAGGAGGCTGAAGCAGGAGGATCATTGCAAGTTCAAGACCAGCCTGGGCTACAAAGTGAGCCAGCCTGAACTGCATAGCAAGAACCTGTCTCAAAAAAACATCAAGTAACTAGCATTTTTGGAATATGCCATCATAAGAGGGTAGAATAATTGAACAAGTATCCACACCTGTAATTCTAACATTTGAATGTCTTTAATTCTAATATTCAATCTTTATTTTTTTTGAGCTATTGTTATATAAAGGGGTTTGAGCCTTATGCTTTTGGGTATATGATTCAGATCTAAAAGGCCAGATATAGAAACATCAACAAGGATGACTAGACATGCAGAAAATAGAGAAGGCAGAAATATTTTTTGTTTCTTTTTCTTCTTCTCAAAAAGGCAGATATTTTGGGAAAAGCTTCGTAGCAGCTTGAGACATCTGCACCTCTGGCCTAAAATTTCCTAAATTAAGTTACTTTTACAAACATGCTTTTTCATTCCGAATCAATCTTAAGATTCCCAAAGAGAACTTTCTAATTGTGATTTTTTTCTAGCATACTCATGTTATTAATAAAATATACACTTAAAATATTCATATCTTGATATAAAATTATGCTTTTTTGTATATTCATTTTTGTTTTTAAAATAACAGCCATATTGAAGTACAATTCGCATGTAATAAAATCTACTCTTAAAAGTATATAATTCCCCCCCAAAAAAGTATATAATTCCATGGTTTTTGATGTATTCCACTTTATCTAATTCAGAACATTTTTATTATCCCAAGAAGAAACCTCACAGTGTTAATGGTTACTGTTCCCCTCTCCCCAGTCCCTGGCAGCCACTAATCTACTCTTTGTCTCTATGGATTTAGTTATTATGTACATTTTGTATAAATGGAATCATATTATGTAACCTTTTGTGATCACCTTCTTACATTTGCCATCTTTTCAAGGTTAACCTATGTTATAACATTTATTTTTATTACCAAAGAATATTTAAATGTACTGTTTCATTATTCCTTTTTTCAGCTGATGAACAATTGGGTTGTTTCAGTTGTAGTCTATTGTAATGCTTCTGTAAACATTTACACACAAATTTTTGTGTGGGCATGTATTATATTTTGCTTGGGCAACTATCTAGGAGTGGAATTGCTGGGTCCTGTTGGAATTCTAGTTAAGTTTTTGAGGAGCTGTCAGACTGTTTTCCAAAGTAGTTCCGCCATTTGGCAGTCTAAGCAGTAATGTGTAAGGTTCCTTTTTCTCCACATTGTAACCAAATTACTTTCCATGTTTAAAAAATTATATGATAGGGTATGTTAAATATTATGGTTTTGATTCACATTATCCTAATGATTAACAACACCAAGCATTTTTCATGTGTTATTGGCCATTTCCATATCTTCTGTTGAGAAATGTTTATTCAAATCCTTTGCCTATTTTAAAATTAGGTTGTCTTTATGTATTCTGGATATAAGGTCCTTATCAGATAGTTGATTTGAAAATATTTTCTCACATTTCATGGGCTTTTTCTTTCCTCATTTAAAAATGTTTTATTTCAATCTTTGAGTAAAGATGTGGGCTTTTTCTTTCCTCATTTAAAAATGTTTTATTTCAATCTTTGAGTAAAGATGTGGGCTTTGGCGTATGATTTTTCGTTAGGCTAGGGAATGTCCTTGTACCAGAATCTTTATGCTGACTCTTGATATGTGTAGGATTTGCACCTACATATATCCCTTTTTTAAAAAAGGGTACTTACCCTGGGATAGTTTTCTACATTCTCAATGTATATTTTAAGGATATAATTCCAAAATGTATTTTGCAAAGTGCTCCAGCATTTATTTGCTTCATGTACTCATCGACCCTGGGGAGCAAGATGCATACTGAACTCTAGAACACATTGGAATGTCTTATATAATTAATTTAGAAAAGAAATTCAGCCCCTTTGAAAATAAATAATTTTAATCTTTTTGCTATTGTGTGTACTGTATGCTTTCAGGGTTTTTTCCTTTTTGAAATTATTATTCTTATAATAGCTATAAAAAGCAGGCATGGGCACAGATAGCACACAGTGTGAATATAATCATAAAGTGTGCTTTAACTTTACTTTCGTGAGGGAGGTTGGTTTGGGTGGGAGTAGAACCTTTAGAAAGAGTGAAGAAAAGATAACAGGGTTTCCCTAAGGAAGTTCCTCACGTTTTGATCGATTGTTCTATGGAAGGATATCATATTGTCATTACAGCATTAACCTTAGAGAAACTATTGGAAACACACAATGGCAAAAATAAAAACCTGATAGATGTTTTTCTTTTTTGAGAGGTATATAAAGTTTAATATACAATTTACTCTTGTTTCCTAGAGCCCAAGCTAGGATCTGTGTTCTAAATTTATTATTATTTTTTTTTTTTGTCTTTTTCATTTTTATCGGTACCGGGTATCGAACTCACGACCGCCTTTTTGCAAGGCAGGTGCTTATGCCACTGAGCTAAACCCCCAGCCCCTAAATTTATTTTTTTAAACTAATTTTATTGGTACACTTTTGATACATATAAAGATCACATTCATCATAGAGAATTTGTATCTGTACATAGTATATCTTGATTCTTTTACCCCCCATCCTCCTCCCTGGCTTTAACCCTTCTTCCCCTCCTTCTTTACAAGTTTAATTAATTTTTTGTGTTTGCATATTTACTTGTAGTACATAATCCTCATTGTAAATTTAAAACTGAAAAAGGGTAGAATTCACATGGATGTGAATGACTACTGATGGACCTCACACAGATAAAGTATAAAGTTCACTTGGGACTAAGCAGAAAAGGTTTGTGAAAGAAGTAGGTAACAGCTAAATCTCATCTTTTTAAAAATAGATACTGTAGAAGCTTGTGTCTTTATCAGATCATAGAAATACTACATATCTTTAACGAATATTTGTAAATAATTTGACAAGTGACTTGAGTCAGCCAGAACAAAGAGAAATTGTTCTGTTTATTTACTTGTACTGATGCCACTTAAATTCTCTAAACCTAGTGGAAAGTTATCCTTATTTCTGTTCAGAACTGAGTTTATAAGGTTATAAAAAGTTAATCACAGTGTGAATAAAATAATTTAACTTTTTTTGTTGTTTTGTTTTGATAGCTTGTATTTTTCTCATAGATTCCTGTTTGACTTTTGGAAGTCTAGGGAGTGCCAGGGATCAAATCGGGGCCTCATGCAGGCTTGGTGGGCACTCACCACTAAGCTAGATCTCCAGCCCCTAAGTAAATAAAATTATGGGGGGGGGTAATTTACATAGTACTTTAAAAATATTTTTACTAGTACATTTGCAGAACATAATGTTTACATTCCTTGTCTGGAGTTGATACATGGATATAACACATCTTAATTTTTTTCCACCAACCCCTCTCCCTGTTCTTTTTCCCCTTTGAGATCTGTCTTCTTTATGTCTATCTTTTGTTTTGCTCTTTTCTTAAAATTTGGGGCTCTCATATAAGAGAAAATATGAGATATTTAAGATTGTGTGTCTGAATTACTTCACTGAGCATTATATCTAAAGTAACAATTAAAAAGTGTAATATAGTAAATGCATAAACCAGAAACATAATGTGTGTTGTACTTTCAGATAATTGACATCACAGTAGGCTTATACCAGCATTGCCACAAATATTTGATGTAGGGGCTACACCACTAGGCAATAGGAATACTCAATTCTACTATAGTCATAATCTTATTCAAGTGTAGTCTGTTACTAACCAAAATGTTGGTATGCAGTTCATGAGTGTATTAGAAATAGTGACTCATAATCTGTTGTATATGTTGGGAATGCTTTAGTTTTTAATTTTGTTGATGGCATTTTGGAGGGTATGGGCTTTTTATATTTTTAAGAAGACTGTTCTTTCAACATCCTGTGTTTAGCTGACATCTTTTCTGCTTGGAGTTGGTTTTAGAGACCTATCAAATACCTTAAGATCACATAAATAGCTATGTAGGGGTTAGGGATATAGCCCAGTGGTAGAATGCTTAGTAAGGAAGCAGGGACCTGAGTTTGATGCTTGACATCATTAACAACAACAACAACAAGGCAGATGTGGTACTGCACACTTGTAATCCCAGCACTCTAGAAAGCTGGGGCATAATTGCAAGTTTGACCCTAGACTGGGTAATTTAGTGACTTAATGAGATCTTGTCTCAAAAAGAAAAAACAAAACAAAAAAAAATTGTTTTAAGGGAAAGGGACTGGGGGTGTAATCCAGTGCAAAGGTCCTGGGGTTAGTGTCCCTATACATCAAATAAATAAATAAATATTTTTCTTTGGTTCTTTCATGGTTTAATTTCTCCACTTCAATCTCTTACATTTTAATGCTACAATTAGGATATATTTTGGGGTAAAATTACACATTGTTATTATCATTATTTTTGCAAGGCTCCAACA